AGAGAGAGAGAGAGAGAGAGAGAGAGAGAGAGAGAGAGAGAGAGAGAGAGAGAGAGAGAGAGAGAGAGAGAGAGAGAGAGAGAGAGAGTTTTAAATTTCCCCCACAACAGCCCCTATTCCACCAAGAAGAGTAGATTCGAGTTGAGCAAGCCAAATAATTAAAGAATTTCACCTCCTTAGCAAGCAACATGAATCATAATAGAACCGTTTAGAACTGTGTTTAGCTGGGGTTTCTTTGGTCAACAGCTCCTCTTTTACTATGCCTCGCACATACAAGGCTGCCCACATTGATGTTGGTTTAGTGGCAGCTGGCCACATCCCCATGTGCCTTAACGGGCCACTTGCACGTTATAATAGGAGACAGGGTAAAGGGGAAGGTTTGCTCCTGTGCATTTCACTTCAGATCTTCGTACTTCTGTTCATTTCGCTTCAGTACATGCAAGTGGGCCGTTAAGGCCCACGGGGATGTCGTTCGTCTTCATACTCTTGTTCGTTTCATTTCAGATCTTCAGCTTATACTTTGTCTGTTCTCTTAACGATGCTCATTGGTATGTATTTGCTAGTAGTAAGGGGAGGGTGGAGGGAAAGGTATAGAAGGCAGAGTTCTATAGGAGTGTGGGGTAGGGGGAAGTGGAGTGCAAAGGGCAGGCCCGTCCTCTCTCCTTGTGGGAAGAATAGGTGTTGACTGTCTTTTTTTTTTAAGGTTACGATTCCTGCACTTGTATTTGAGTTCCCTGAATTCTAGTGATTTTTGAGGTTGTAATAGGAAAAGTTTTCATAATTTTGATGCTGGTTGCAGCGGACTGTGTTTGTGGCGATGGTTGGAGATACCGCGCTCTGCGGCGAAGGGGCTAGCCAGTAGGGCGGAATTAGGGTACAGCAGCGGTGGAGATGGTAGTTCTACCGCAGTAAGTCTTGCTGGAGTAAGGTTGAGATGTTTTTTTTGGTTGGATGTCTGCATCCAGTGCTTGAAAATATTCCCAAGATCAATCCTTAGAGAACCTAACTTTCAGGCATTACCAGTTAACCAGTGGCTACATGTGAGGCTGAAGGGTTCAGACCCCGACAGTTCCGATCAATGCAAAGTATGTACGGAAGGGGCTGTAGAGGATATAGTACATTGCTTAATACACTGTAGGGAGGCGGCAGAATTCTGGGCAAGAGCCTCGACCCTATGGGACTCCCTTTTCCCGACTCCTTTCCCTGAACAACCCATCCAACTTCTCCTTCTGACTAACATCCCTGAACAACTCCGGAAAGCGGAAAAGATTTGGTATGGACTCATCAGGAAGGTGACACTATGGATCATGTGGAAGGAAAGATGCAGCAGAACGATCGAAGGAGTGTCCAACTCACGAGAGATGATTTGGCTGGAGACGAAAGCAATGATACAGGCGGAAATCCTATGCCGTTGGCGGAAAATCAAACTGTCATGGTCAGAGGATGAGGAACAGCGAAAGAAGGCGAGACTGAAGTTCAGCAGGATATGGTTGATAAGAGGGAGAGTTGCTGATCTACGGGACGACCGCATCTACTGGAAGGACTGGCACAACTCCAACTCGGGAAGCAGTATTTGGCAGGGACTAACTGCGCAAGGGCAAGGCACCTCCGGACCAGAATCTTAAAGAGGAAATGGTATCAAGCAAGCCTTGGCAGAAGACAAGGAACAGCGAAAGAACGGGAGACTGAGGCTGTACAAGAATTGGTTGTGTCTGCCGAGAGATGAGAGGACTGTATCTACTGGAAAGAGAGGCATAAGTCAGTGCCAGAAAGGAGCTTCCAAAAGAGGTTAAAGGCGGTTGCATCAATTACTTCTTGAACAAGAGACGACAGCAGTTACTAGAAGGTTTGGCACATCTCAAACTTAGGAAGAGGCTATCGAGAACAGATATCTGTGGACGGGCAAAACACAGCCAGATCAGACTTCCACGGGAATTCGACAAGCCGAAACTGCTACAGCTATGGACTGACAGCACAGAGTTGGACGGACGGCACCATAAGACCAGAACAAGGGGAAAGGGCGGTCCCAAAAGGGTTGCTGTAATACGGGTTCACAGGTTGAGGGTTTAGGGATAAGGGTTTTAGGGAGGTTGGGCGCACAGGCGAAGGGTTTAGGGTGTAGGGTTTATCACAGATCTTCCAAAGGGGCAGGGAGGTGCGTGGGAGATACAGGCCAGCAAGTTTATCGGATGAGCTCTTTCTAGGGACAATGGTGCTATCTGGCAGACCTGGACCCTAGGTCTGAGAGGAAAGAGTGGGATAGGGGAAGCTGACAGTCAATCCTCCACCGCGGTGGAGCAATCAATGCTGTTCAGGGATCCTTCGGCCTGATGGAAGGAAGCGTGTGTGAGTGTTTTTGATGTAATGCTTATTTTGACTTGCCGGTGGAATAGGAACCGGACTGACGCTCCCCAGAATAGAAGGAGCCAGGACCATAAGGCCCTGTTCTTTTTAAAAAAAAAAAAAAAAAAAAAAAAAAAAAAAAAAAAA